TGTGTGTGTGTGTGTGTGTGTGTGTGTGCGCTGCTGACCGTTGTTGCTATACTGCTGCAGAGCCAGTGCTGATATCTGCAGGATGCTGTCGCTGTCATAGGAGTGAGGGAACGTCAAATCCTGTATGTCTGCCTCTGTGTTCAGTACATACACTTCCAGATCTGTGCACGAACACAAACAGAGATGCACACAAGTCTGGATGTGCTGCTGAATGTCTAAAGTCAAACAAAGCAAGGAGGGAGAGACCGAGAGAGAGCACATACCGACATTTGGTGCTCGGTAACTAAAACGGCTTTCATAAAGATTGTTAGCCAACAGAAACGCTCCTTTCTCCACGGCGTCCAGGAGCAGCGACGCAGAGCGTGATTGGTCAGTGCTGCTCAGGTCAGCCCAGGCCACCAGAGCTTCAGGACTCAACAGGTTATCGACTGTCTGCACAACCGACTGAGGACAGACAGGAAGTGTTATCTGTCTGTTTAGATGTACTGTATGTCTGTGAATCCATCTGTTCATCTCTTACCTGAACAAAAAATTTGCACGTGCGTTCTCTTTTCTGCAGCTGGGGGGAAAAAAATCATTATTAAAATTATTAAGGTCGTCGTCCCTGACATTTCTGCTCTCATCTCCAGTAAAGGTCAATTATACCTCAGGACTGATGATATAAATGTACCTTGTTGTAATTGCGTGCTGCTGACTCTTTAACAGCTGGTCTTAGAACCTGGAGCTGAGAATCCAGTATGTCCAGCAGCTGTTCAATCAGCCTGACAGACATGCTGATGTCACCAGCATAGATCTGTCCCCGTGTTAGGTTCACCAGGTCCCCAACAATGTTGGCTGCGTTCTCTCCACTCTTAATCTGAAATGAGTCAGGAGGGTTTTGACATTTAAGAGAGGACTGCATGCTGACTGGCTTCAAGGCATTTGCGCTTTATGTGCATTTGTGTGCACATCAGTGTGTGTTTTACTGACCCTCTGTGCAATCTGGCTGACCCAGGGAGAGGTGCAGTTGGAAAGATCAGGCCCTCTGGAGTTCCACGCCACTGGAGATGACATGCATTGATAGGAGGCAATTCCTGCAGAAAAAAAGGGGAGACAGCACCAAACAGACATGGAACAGCAGTGTTAGATGCAGCAAAGAAATAAAATGTGCTTTTTTCCTGCACAGAAGCTGGCATTAAGAATGTAACATGTAGTGAGAATATACAATGGGTAAAATAAGTATTGAACACGTCACCATTTTTCTCAGTAAATATATTACTAGAGGTGCTAATGACATGAAATTTTTACCAGATGTCGGTAACAACCCAAGTGATCCATACATACAAAGAAATCAAACCATAAATGTCCAGAAATGAAGTTATTTGTAATAATGTGGAATGGCACAGGGAAAACGTATTGAACACGCTTACTGAAATTGCCAGTACCATAGGCTGAAAAACAGCCCCACACCATGATGTTCCCACCTCCAAACTTCACTGTTGGTGTGGTGTTTTGGGCTGATGTGCAGTGCCATTTGACCTCCAAACATGATGTGTATTCTGGCATCCTAACAGTTCAGTCTCATCTGACCAGACTATATTCTCCCAGTATTTCACAGGCTTGTCTAAATGTTATGC